TTGTCCATGAATTGGCCATTGGTGACTTTCCAGGGCACGAACTGAACCTGGGTTGTCTTCATGAGGCTGAGAAGTTCCAAGGCCTTTGGCAAGGCAATACAACACATCACTGAGGATCTGGTCACTGACGTAATGTCGAAGGCAGCAACAATCTGGATTTGGGGTACCCGATTTTCGGACCAACTCATGCGAAGGAAGAAACACGCCCGTCTGTGCATTGTAGTGTCAGTGGCCTCCTGCCAGTGCGTCGCATGAGCACACGCACTCATGGCCTGTTCAAACATAGAGAACGTCAGGATGAACATAGAAAACGATGATAAACCCAAATGCGAAACTGCCAAGCCATTAATTTTCCCTGCCCAATAGATTGGTCTGGCAGATTTGGAGTGGGTGGTCTGCAATGTTGGACATACTGTTCCTATCTGCCTATATGTCAGAACATCAAGTCTTACTCTCGCCAGCACAAGCGCACTCACTTTCAAAATATGATTAAAATAGCTCTGGAGCAAAACAATTGACCGAAGAGCTCCATCCCAGGAAGAGTATATATACATATATATATATATGCGTGTGTAAAACCAACTTGATTGAAAGGGGAATTCTTTGAGAGTAGAGAAGCTATTGGGAAGGGACCTCGGGAAGAGGGTGTGATTGACGTGACTGGTTGCTTGGGTTTTGTGAGGACGTGACTGATTGGATGAGTAAATCAACTCAGAATTGTTTGAAATACATTGAAACATGGTTTGGACTTTGGACGAATGTGGGTTTTTTTACGCTCATTCGCCTATGGCTCCACAAGCTGAGGGACCCAAACAGCACTGTAGGCAACGACATCGCAGCTCCCAACGTCCTTGGTGCCCACCATTTTTTGGAACAGACCGGCAATCATGAAACCGAAACCCCATCTTTCCCAAACTGTCACTAGCCAAATTGAACCAATGGTTGGAGATCACAAACCACATTGGACCGATGACCTGCAATGAAAGTTGCTTGATAATTGGGTAAGACTTTGTAAGGGAATGACTCTTGGGCTATCAAAGATTGGCATCTGCAGCTTCAAAAGGCAATGTCCTGGTCCGCATTTCGATCAATTTCGGGCAAAACTGGCGGATAGATCTATAGAATGTTATAGATACCCTGTGGTAATCAAACATGGCACTGGAAAACCCCATTTAGTCTGACGATTTTCCAGCACACCCTGCTTGATGACACAAAAGCATTCAATAGAGATTTGCATGTTATATACTCAAATGACTGTAAGTTATCATTCAATGTCCGACCACTGGTTTCCACTTTCTTTACCAAGGCACCAAAAGGGAGAGCGCCTCCCTCCATGCTTGACCTGTGACCCATATGGGCATTTTGTTAGACGTGCGGCCGAAGCCAATGGGCTTCCACGAAAAATATCTAGGGATACTTGGGCTCATTTGGTACCTGCGAATCGACAAGTCCATAAGGTTGTCGGCTATAAGTCGGCGCACAACGAAAGAGTTTCCAGATTCGAATGGCTGACACCTCACGGACAGCTTCTTTATTTTACGGGACAAGCAGTAGGTCTTGAGCCAAGGCATCAGCCACATGATGCACAGAGTCTGAGGTGACCTGATGTTGGCAAGCTTTGCATGCTCTACAAGTACTGTATGTTGTGTGGCATCTCGCCTACAGTACACACTCCCACCCCCAACAACTGGTAGCCTTCAGATACTGACCCATGCCATCCCTAACCAACATTCTGTAATACCCTCGTGACTTCCCGTCCTCGTACCACATGGCATCGAAGGCTGAAAAGGGCATTGTCTTCTACACCACTATGTAACCATCGGCCGACAGTCGTGCCATCGTACTCACACAATCGATAAGCAGCCAGGTAGATGTACACAGAAATCGGTTGGACATGGTCGAACTTCACTGTGTGGGCTGAATGACGATTCCAAGGTGCATACGGCACAAAGAACGTGTTTTCATCTCCACTTGCGATGCAAACATCATGCACAACTGACCCTTTCCATTTAGATGTCTCTGTCGCCTTCGGCCATTGCGATCGTGTGAGTTTCTCTTGTTCACCTCTGGAGATCCTGGATTTACTCTTCTCCAGGTCTTCCAGCTCTTCAACAGTCTTGTTGTACTCATTCCTCAGACGCTCAAATGCATCAGCCTCGGCTCTGCATTCTTGTTCTTCATCATTGGCACGACCCTCCGCTTCAGTAGTGGTCCTTCCGTTCTGCCATGGCCTCTATTCTTCCTTGAGCTTCTTGACCTCCTCTTATCTCTTCTTGTTGGACTCATCGAGCTCGGATTGAAGCTCAGCCTGGGCAGCCGTGGCTTCGTGGCGTTGCACAGCGATAGCCAAAGTGCTTCCAGCTTTGAGCTCTTCCTGAGCCAGTTCGTCAAGTGCTCGTTGAGGCTCGGCCTTTACCTTCAAATTAGGTTCCTGAAGTTCCTCGATCTCCTCTTGTTGTACATGAACTTCTGTATGCGTGTCGGCCAGATGGCTCTGTGGAATATAGAGTAGTCCTGCGCTCCCTGAATCACAATCCTACGTTCATTCAGTACTTTGAACGCTCTGCCTGTGTCACTTTGAAGGTTCTCAAAACTTTTCCTCTCTTTCTCCACCTGTGCCTCGAGCTTCCCTGTCTTCGTGTCCCTCTCGAAGACTTCAGTGTGAAAATGATCATACGATCTGCTTGAGAAATTGGGCTCACGTTTAGCTGATCAATCCTCACCCATGTATCCTGACCTAACTCTGTGAAGTTCTCTTGAGAAGTCTCCAACAGTAGCCGGCTGTCTACCAATTCACTCTTCACTTCCCTGAATGTGGCATCGGTCTCCACCTATACGAAGAGTCATCGAATTCATCCTTCAACTTGAGGTACTTCTCCTGGTTTGGATCTTGTTTGAAGCCATGGGGGGGCCGCGCCTAGCCAATTGAGAGGACATATCATGGCATTGATTTCTTGGCTCAGTCATTTGTTGTAAATTAATTTATATATCCTCTCAGAAAGACTCTGTTTCATGAGGAGTTCAGATAGTAACGCCATCAGCTTCATGTCTCACACGCCACCACGATCTGCACTTGCACTTCCCTCAGCATTCCGGCTTTCGGCGGCAACCACTTGGGATTGCAGACTTTCATCGCGTGCAATTTGCAATCTGAGTTGCGATTCTTCCATAGCCAGATGATGTTCACATTCGGCATAGCAGTCGTATTCAGTTCTGAGACTTCCACGAAATTCCCTCATGATCTCATCTGGCTTGATGTCAGCAGATTCCACCTCAGTTTCGAGCCTCGTGATACTCAAGGACAGAGTGTTCCTGAATGATTGATGCTGATTGTCCGCCTTAAGCATGTCTAAGTGTAGAGCGCATGACCTGTCGTTCGCATAGCCAACGGCCGCTGCTTCCTGCTTGGCAGTCCTCTCCACATTCTCCAGCTCAATCCTAAGTCGGTGCATCTGATCTTTTATCCCAAATCCAGGGTGAAGGATGATCGTACATGCATGATCCATCTGCCCATTGAATTCAGGTCGAAGCTGACGATACTGAGTTTCCAAATGCAATGCCCTTTCATCAGGCATGGTCCAATATCTTTCCAGCTCCTCGATCCTGTGCGTGGCTCCTTCATCTTCCTGTTTTGCAGCCATGAGTTCAGAGTTCAGGATCTGTAGGTGCTGAGCCATCGAAGTCATCTCGTTGTGAGTAGGGATCTCGTTGTGAGTAGGGTTCTCGAGCATGTTGAACTGCTGATTCGCACAGATCGCCATCTCTCCCAGTCTGACGTGTAGGGTCGATTCCTCATCCGTGGCCCTCTCCAGTGCTATCTCGTTTTCAGCCACTTCATCTTGATACATGGAAAACAAGTCACTTCCAGTCGAAGTCATTGAAACCTTCTGGTAAGATCCTTGCCCAGAAGGAGTTGAATCCTCAATGGGCGATGGAGGTGATGGTGAAATCGGTTTCGCCTTCTTCCTAGGCGTCGAAAGCGGTGACCGGTCTCTCACTAGTGGTCTTCTTGCGCTTGATGTAGGTTCGGCATCCATGATTGCCGGCATACAGATAATGCGCCCCTAGGTCCCTCACCCTTGTGGTTCTCAATTCTGAGCTGTCACCTCCCCCAGTACCCAAACTCTGTGAAGAATTTGGCTGCGTGCCGATAGCAGGTGCTGCGGCGTGTCCAGCAAATTAGAGAAAGCATCGTCACTGCTGATCCATCTTCCGGCCGGATTCCAGGCCGTGGTCGTCCCACACGTGCGCTCGGTAGGAGATGCATGGTTAATAACCTGCGAACCGACCTCTTTCCCAAGATTGTCGACTGCATGTCAGTTGATCAATGCACTTAGGCACAACGAAAGAGTTTCCAGATTCGGATGGCTGACAGCTCACGGACAGCTTCTTTATTTTATCGGACAAGCAGTAGGTCTTGAGCCAAGGCATCAGGCACATGATGCACAGAGTCTGAGGTGACCTGATGTTGGCAAACTTCGGATGCTCTACGAGTACTGCATATAATATGGCATCTCGCCTACAGTACACTCGCAGTAATTATCTGTGAATGAATTCTTGTGTCTAGATGTGTTTGGTCTTGTGGAAGACAGGTTGATTCCGTTTTGTGTATACGGATGTGGGTAAGACGATGGTTTGCTCAATGGACCTGGACTTCCGCATGATTCTATGGCCGAAGTTATCAAAGGTCTCCAAAGTATCACAAAAAGCTTGATACATTGAAGATGTTTGATTTCAACACGTTCATAAGCTTGTGCTGCTGTGACTGACTGAAAAACACCTGCAGCTTCAAACCATTCTTTTCACAGGGCCTTAAAGTTGGATATGGCTCCACATCTGGTGCTCAAAAAATGATCAGGCCAACCCAAGCTAGTTCCACTTTTTAGGTGGGTATGTAGCCATCATTATAGGGGTTAAACCGTTATACCCCAACTTGTGGGGGTGATATCACCATGGCATACCAACTGCACCCCGAGTGGAAACATCGCCTTTCTCACAGGCGCTGATTGTAGCATTGCAGCTGATACGTGATGGGCTGATCCTGAAGCAAACCAAACCGTGGTTTTCAGCTTCCAAGTGGAAAGTGAAATGATTGACCCGAAAGTGACATCGGGAAGTCACGTCTGTTTGATAAGTCCATGGCCAGGAACTTTTCATCAAGCTCAAGAGGTGCACGGCCAAGCTCCATTCATGACCTCATTCGTGTTCAATTCCTTTTGTCCCAACTTGTCAAGCCAACTTCCCACCTGCCGCAATGATGATTACAGACGTTCCGTACCCAGCATTGTCGCAACTACCACCATGACCCCCCAGTCTTATCGTGCAACTGGACCCTTGCACCCTTTGTCAGCAGTGGTTGCCAACGAGACCCTGGCCATTGCCACAGGCATTGATCACGGAGGTGTAGCTCACTTCACCCTGGCGATGATGCAAAGCAAAAAAAAAGATGGACTCGCCTAAATCCGCAGAAGTTCCGCCGGCAATACTGGCACTGCGAGGTCTTCAAGCCTTGACAAAGTGTGGTTGCCAGCGAAAACATCGCAGCTCCCTTTCAGAGTTGTCCGCCAGAAGCTAAGGCCCCGGCAGCTGCAACGCTGCTGGCCAAGCAAAGCCCCGAGCACACGCTGCAATCGCGGAATTCTTTGCCACAACCTTTGATGAAGTTGTACAGAGGTAAGATAGGAGGATTACCCATAGATCAAGCTCTCCACAGGATCTATCTACCTGTACCAACTTAAAAGCTGGGCCAACCAAATTTGGGAATCTAATACAAGAGACACCAGAACTGCAACCGATAGCTGGCACAGAGCTGTTCATTTAAGGGGCCAACATCAGCTTCAAGCCGCAGGCTTTGCAACCTGAATGCGTTTCATATAGTCTGGCTTGTGCAGTTCTGGCGCTCCTAAAGGTAAGCACATTAAAGTGGCAATCGTTCATCCTTGGCGCAACTGTATGATTTCCCACTGATCCACATCAAAATCTGGATGTACCTTGGCAACCAGACTCTGCCAGCGCCGAGCAAGCAACTTGCCATTCTGAAGCTTGCCTCAGAAGTGTGCCACATGGCACTTTGGTCATTGCGAACGCAGAAGCTCAACATCCCCTCAGATCTCCGCGCACACACGTTCATCAGCTCACTTGACAGTCGGACGGTCAGTGGAACCTGGAGAAGGCGTAGGCCTTCGGTGGTGTGCCAAAGCCCAAAACCTACATAAACCATCATAGACCTGCCGCGCGATGATCTACCCTCAGTATGAAGCTGAAATCCTATCCTGGTCAGTCCACTGGTCAGACCCCCAAATCTTAGCTTTCACCACTCTGGCCAAGGGCCAAGATCATGCCCAGGTCACTTCTGCCAACTTCGCATTCGCCAAGATCTGGCAAGCTTCAAGCCACTGCCTCAGAGATGGCCCTTCCTATTTTGAATATCTGTTTGAAAAGGGCTACAAGTTATGTATAAGGCTACACCTCTACATAGCCAGTCCCTTTGGCACCCCAATTAAGCACACCATACCACGCAAGCCAAGACACCCCTGCATTCTGCAGCTTCGCAGCACCGCACCATAGACCTGGCAGTTGCTATCCGGATGTAGGAACCCTCCGTTTGCAACTGTTCAATCCACGCTGGTGAAACCACTTCGTTGGGCTGCAACTTTTCCTCTTGCAACCTGCAAGAATGGTCAAAAATGGCTGGATTGATGCTCTCAAATCCTGTCTGCAATAGTGGAACGAAAGCCGAACGTCTTGAGCAGGTCTAGGTTTGTGACTCTTCCAGAAGCACAAGTGCCTGAGAGAGTCCAAAGGGTTGAGAAGCATCTGGAGTGAAATGCTTGGATCTTCAGGGGTAGAACACGCCTCCTTCCAATGACCCGAGTGGGCGACTGCCTTGGAGGAAGAGCTGATAACAAAACAAATTTCTTGATGCTATGCACGGGTGTCATGGCAAATCGACATGTTCGCTCGATGTCTTTCCACATATCTCATATACATATAAACAAACATACATAATATATATATATATATATATGTATGTATTATATATATACATATATACGTATGTATACTGTATATATTGATACGTACCTGCGCATCCAAAGTGAAAACTGATGCGCATCTTGTCGAAGCTGTTGTCTTCCATTGATTCATAAGTGTCACAAAGTCAGCTTGGGAAAGAAGAGCACGGCTAATTCTTCATTGGCAAGGTGCGAAAAATGTGGGAGCAGCGGAAACTTTCAAAACCACTGGAAGCAACATTTGGGCATGTCTAAGCTGTTGTGGTTGATCCACGCATCCCAAATCAACGGGGGTCATCATTCCAGGTAGGAGGGAAAATGACAACTATCCATTAGCCATCCAATATTGTTGGTTGTATATCACCAGTCGGCTGTTGGTCAAGTTCCCTTTGATGGCTGATTCTATCCCCATCAAATTCTTTGCAATTTCAATCTACCAAACCAATTCCAACATTGAAGCAGAAACAACAACAACGACAACAGCAACAACAACAACAACCACAACAACAACAACAACAACACCAGCAACAGCAACAACAACAACAACAACGACAACGACAACGTTTACATTTCCGCAACCACAACAAATCAAGATCATTAAAAAGTTACTAACAGGACCAACCAGTCAGTCCTACGCCAAGCTACCCCCAGGAGTGCGCCATACATCTGCACATCTGCCTGCCGCCCTTGCTGCAGATATTGCCGCACCGTTTCCAGCGCCTGCTGCCAACGTCCTGGAAAAACCCAGATGTTTGCAGATTTCTGCAGCATCAACTTTGTATTTTACCCAAACAAAAGTTGAAAGTTGACAAACATAAATGGCGCTGCCAACTATGACGTGCTTATGCTGAAATGGGCCAGCTTTGGGAAGTACCCATATTTCATCGCGTATTTCTGCCGAAAATCCCTCCATGTGAACCCATTTTTGCTCGTGCATGGGCCCAGAGATGCGCTGTACTTGAAAACATCGGCATCAAGATCCGGGCACGTCATGGGAGTCCCATGCGGAGTATGTTGAACTCCCAATCCCATGCAAAGCAGGAGTGGTTGTCATCGGAATGGGATGACTCGTCCGAAGGAGAAATCAGAGAAAGTCAAGAAATGTCTAGTGTGCATATATATATATATATGTGTGTATATATGAACCATATGAAACCAACCACCAACCAAATATGAACGTTCGCCTGCTCTGCATATCGTCATAAATCTACATGATCACAACTTCCTCCTGCCATTGAAACTACGAAGTGAATCCTGACTTTGGGTCCAACTCTTGTCGCTGGTGGAACATTCACTGCGAGAAGCATGCTGCAGTTGCAGCTTACCTTCCCGCACGCCACCCGTGGGGCACCTTTGGATCTTATGGTATGTACAACACGAACTACCTGAAGCCTTCTACTTCGAGGCACCATTATCAGTCAGCAGCTGTCTAGGTTCTCCTGGCCAGCTGAGAGTGTAGATCTGATCAGCACTGCTTTGGTCATCAAGCAGGGATAAGTTCGAAAGAAACATTTTATGGTGACCTGTGCTAGGGCGGTCACATCATACCCCGTCGAACATCTCTCAAATCAACCATCACCTGCCCTGCCTTCTTCGCTCACAGGGGGAGTCCTGCACCATTTTTCGCACCGAGCAGAGAAAGCAACTCAATGCATGTGCTTCACTGTGTTTCACTGTTTCACTACACGCAATTGGTCAGTGTGCATCTAAGAATTCAAGAAATATAGCAGCAGAAGCTTTTCAAATGGGCTGGACCTAACCAAGTGGACTGGGCTTCCAAGCGGCTTTGTCGTGACCAGGTCTAGTCGTGGGCTTTCATGTCCCAAAGCTGCATCGAAGTGTCCCATGTCGGGCCTGCAACGTGCAGTCCAGGTGTGGGGAGCAACATACCTCCTGAGCTGAGTCGTAAACCTCCCTGAAGTATAGAAATTGTCGTTGACAAATTATCGAATATCATACCCAAATTATATATATATATTATACAGTGTATACTATATACTATATATATATATGTATACATGTATATGCTTGTATGTATATATATATATATGCGTGTATATATAGAGAGAGAGAGACGTATGTATGTGTATATATATATATATATGTATATATATATACATTTAAAAATATATATATATATACATACATACATACATATACATATACATATATATAATATATGTGCAATGTAGACTCTCAGCCATGCAGAATCAACCGGATATGTCCATAATTTCAGGTCCCGCCTTAACACGGCGGCAAATTTCCGCACGCGCAGCTCTGCTCGGATGCGGTCCGTCATGTCACTGAGCTCCACAGCCACACCCTGGTGCAAAAAATGGGGTATCTGCGTGTATATGTATGTATGTATAATATGTGTGCAGTTACCAATGTACATACATTACATTACATTACATTACATTACATTACATTACATTACATTACATTACGTACATACGTACATACGTACATACATTCATACCATAACATAACAGAAATATTACATTGCATAACATTACATTACATTACATTTACATTACATACATACATATACATACATATACATATGTGTGATGCATTACAAATATATGATGTACATGTGTGGGATATAATTCATGCGATAGTCTTTTTCTGAATCAGCCATATGAAATGGAGATTTATGGAGGATTTACGACTGGAAATGGGCATGTCAAGCCAACAAGCGTTGGGAGACAGTGGGATATCACCGTCACCAGGTATGTGTATATATATAATATATGAATACATATGACATATGAGTTTCAAAGGGGGAAAGTGATGATAGACCATTGGATTATCGGGTACCCCATTTTCATATAGACCCATGTAACCTGATACAAGCCAGAAAAAGGGGGAACACGAAAGGTAGGTAGTCAAGAAGGGGAAGCAAAGCCTCTCTGTGTAAAAGCTGGCTGTGTGTAAAAGCGTGCTGTGTGCACAAGTTTCTGTGTGTAAAAGTCTTTCTGTGTAAAAGCATCTGTGTGTAAAAGCGTCTGTATGTAAAAACTGCTGTGCGGCTGTGCGTAAAAACTTCTGTGCGTAAAGGCATCTGTGTGGAAAAAATTCTGTGTGTGAAAGCTTCTCTGGGTAAAGTTTCTGCATGTAAAAGTTTCGGTGTGTAAAAGCTTCTTTGTGCAGTCTGTGTGTACAAGTTTCTCTGGGTCAAAGGTGTACTGTGTAAAAGTTTCTTTGTGTATATAAAAGCTGTTCTGTACAAAGGCTTCTCTGTGTAAAAGGTTCTGCGTGTAAAAGCGCCTGTGTGCCTTTATGCGTGCAAAAGCATCTTTGTGCAGAGTTCTGTGCACAACCTCTCTGTGCAAGAGTATCTGCGCATAAAAGCTGCTCTGTGTAAAGGCTTCTGTGCGTAACGTTGTCTGTTTGTAGAAGCGTATCGGTGCAAAATGCGTCACCGCAGCAAAATCGAAAAAAAAAACATGAAACAAAAAAATCCAATCCTTGGTAGCAAAAACCACTGTATTTACAGTGTTGTTTGGACAGCACCTAGCAAAAACACTGGTATTTGCGCATTTTTCATTATGTTGCAAGAAGTAATTTGTCCATGCAAAAGTCACAAAACCCCTGTAAATTACAGTATTTGGGGTCTGCTTTTTTGTAGGGTTCGTTGGGGGCGGGGGGGGTGGAGGGGCTCCTAAAGTATACAGCAATCTCCTGAATAGTCAGGCAGCGGGGCTGGCCACCCTCCCCTTTACAAGTAAAACTCAAGGTAGCCCCACTGGAGCTACCTTTCGTGACCTACCAGCTTTTCTACATATGTCCAGTGGTTCGAGTCTTTACACAGACTGATTTTACGTCGATGCATCAGGACTTGTGTCAGATTGATGCTTTCTCACTTTCTCAGCAAATTCTTCAGATTTATCAGAGATGGTCAGCTTCAAACTTCGTACGGCAATGTCTGGCAAGACTAGGCCAGACTGTTCGCGAGTAAATACGTTGGAAAGCTGAGAGGTTGTGAGTCGTGATAATTGATGAGTGAAGCCATTGCTCTCAGATTTGCGCCGCTAATTCATCTGAACCGGAATTCTGCGCCTTGTGATGGAAGTTCTCCTCTGTGATGAAGGCACTCAGAGGGCTCTCTGTGAGTCCAAAGAGATTCCTCGGAGCCATGGACTCACGGGGATCTTGCCACTTCGCTGACATGCTGCAAGAGGTTCATTGCGTATATCTGCGTGTCTATGTGCGTATAGGTGAATTAGAGTTGATGAAAGGTGTATTTGAGTTCTGTGTCGGTATACTGCGGAAAGTTGTCATTGGGATATGGCCTTGTATGGCCTTGGTGAGGTCACGCATACTATCCCACCCAATGCGGGGAGTACAGTAACTAATACCTTAAGTGCGACCCTCGACAACACCATACCACAATATATCACAATCACGTAGCTCTTTTTGTCGCATCACCATCCTTTCATACCCCAGTGAAAAATGGCCTGGCAACCAAGCCAAACGGGCACCTTGACTCAGATCCCTACTAGGCCCTTGTGCTGACTTGAGCAGTGTTCAAAATCCCTCTGTCATTCCAGTGGTACTGTCCGTTCTTGGATTAATATATATTAATATCATCCCCAATGACCATTGGCTAGTATAATCCTCGAACTAATCAACCAACAGAGCAGCAACCACTGCTCACTTTGAAATCTCTGCGTCAAGCATCAGCATTGCCTGGAGCTCCATCTCTTCCACAGTATGACCAGCCTGCCCAGGGGATGGCTCAGCGGCTGAAGCCATGTCAGCGACCACGGAAAGATTGAGCTTCTGTCAACCAGCAATAGTAATATCCATTATAGCTATACTACTATATATGTGTATCTTGACATGTATATATATATATGTATATGTACATATCTATTGACATGTATATCCTAACATTATAATACTAGAAATATATATATATTTATATTATTATTATATATATATATAATAATATATATATATATTATTATATATATATATATATATTATTATATATATATTATTATATATATATATATATTATTATATATATATATTATTATATATATATTATTATATATATATTATTATATATATATATTATTATTATTATATATATATATATTATTATATATATATATTATTATATATATATATTATTATATATATATATATTATTATATATATATATTATTATATATATATACATATACGTATATATCAAAAATGATTGAAACGTATCAAAAGTTTGAGAATTTCTGGCACACTGGATGCCAGGTTTCAGCAGCCAGCCACTTGCCTCACAGGAAGGCGACAGGCGCAAGTGGAAGCAGGAGCCCTGGATGTAGGCAACTAGGCGGCACCGCAGCTTTCCCTGCCATTGCGAGCCCAGATACCCAGTTTCTCAGAGGACATATCTAACATATCAGGTAGTTTTTGACCCCCTAACTGTAAGTGGAGTTGGATTCTTGGTAGGTGCGTACGCCCGCGGCAGGATTCCGAGCTAGCTCCCTTGGCAAAATTGAGCTGTCAGTTGCTCAGCCTCAGAGATTAATCGAATCAATCCTTAATCATATTTCAAAATATTTTAAAAAAAAACTCGAACCCAAGGGATCTGTCAAATCGATACAAGGCTGGGTTCCCCCTGATGAACTTAGAAGCGCCTGGTGCACCCAAAGTGATTCCAGAGGATACAAGGCGTTACCCTTCAACACATCCTCATACCGCAGGTTCCAAGTGATGCACGCGGGCTTTGCTGCCTGGCTCCAAAGACATGGCAATATCCATGACTTAAGATGGGAATGTGGCTAGAATGGGGGGATTCAACTTGATTGAACCATCCTATATTTGGAGATATCTGATATCTCTGATGTCATGGGTGAGACGATGTCAAGCCATACCAACTTCTTCTGTTCAGATTCCACGCCGCGTGTTACGCGGGTAGCTACGCGGGTAGCTCCTGAACATGTACTGCGTGCCCGTGCTGAGACTTCCAGAACTTACATCCCATCAAGCTGACCATGCATCCAAGAAGCTGCTGCAGGGAGGAAGGACTCAAGAATCTCTCCATTCCTGTCCAAAGATTCCAAGAGGCTCAAGTCTTGACTACGAAACGCATCGAAATGCTATATATTTACGTGACTTGATGTGAATTGAATGTTGAAGGTCGAGACATGCTCGAAGCATTGAGATGCTGTCCGTTTCTCACCGACCTTGGCTTCAAATTATGTGCCGCCCAAGATGTAGCCGACCGCCGCAAGGCCTGACCCAAAGTACATGTCAACCCTGTATGCTTTCAGTTGATCATTCCATACTGCCTGCAATACGAACATAGACAGACATGCCAAACGCTTTAAACATCTTTAAATGTGCATGTATGTGTGTGTGTGTGTGCGCGCACCATCTTGCCGAAACAAGTTGAAGAATCTGTAAAGTCGTCATAAATCCTGCTGTCACCAGACCTGCAGACATCTGACCTGCCGCGACATGACCGCTTGCATGTCCTTGGTCCAAATAGGCAAAAGTCAGAGTGCTGGTGAATATCACAAGTTCAACTTTCATTCATGAAGTTCACATGCTTTCACTGCAAATCAGATGTTCTTTTGTTTTTGGAGAGTGTCCTTTTAAAAGAGCAACCAGAGACTTACCAGACTGGTCTTTGTAGCATCTACTCCAAAAGATCTCTGTTGCTAAAGTTGCCTGCAGGAGGCATGTGGAATTGGTCTCTCTATCCCTCTCAAATGTGAAACTGAGAACAAGGCTGCCAACTCTGAACTTTCACAAGCAAGGCTGGTGCAATATGAAGCTTGGGCAGAAATGTAGAGCAAGGCCCGTGCAGCGAGTCACATCAATATGAGCAGGCCCAAAGAGGGATATGTCAGCTGCATCAACAATGCATTCATAAAAATTGAGAAAATAAATGAAAATAACAAGGATATGACCCCCAGTGATATGTACAGCATCCGAAATCATTGCCCACGGATTCTCCTGCACGGCCGAGGCGAGTGACGTGGCTGGTGACTTGCGCGACATGAAAACATGGCCTTGGACGTGGACTGGGATGAGTTCCATGGGAAGCTGGGGATTAAGCCAGTCATCCATGGATGCCATGGACCAATGAATTCGCATTGAAACCCATGGCTAAAAAGCACTGGAAGGCCATCATCCCACGAAACCATCCGGCGACCGCTAAATCCAGCTGAGTTGCTCATCCGTATCCTGGCTCAAATGATGGTGACCCTGTAGAAAAATGGAATCATACTTGGCCAATCTTGGCCATATGATCATTGGTTTGGTTGTGTACCTATGATTGAAAGCCGCATCCTCGTTTTTTGGCCTTTCAGTCTGAGTGATCAAGGACCTTAAAATTGAAGGCAATTTCCATGAATCTGGAGCCAGGCCTTTTATGAAACTCTAGACCCTGCAGGCCCTGAACATGTTGAATGTCGACATCAACCTTTGCCAAAGTTCCTCTTTCTGGCACATCTCACCATGATGGGCACTTGTAAAGCTCGGCACTTCTTGATTTCACCCGTGTTTGTGTAAGCTGCTCCACGTGTCCTGCATGGTCTAATCTTGAGTAGATTCTGCCTAACTGCAGCGTAATTTAGATTGCAAAGTGAGGACAAATGAGACCTCAGCTGGATATAGTTGGGACAAAAATGACAAAAAGAGGAGCTGTTGCATTTGGTTCCTCATGATCCGTTCAAAGTCAATGGCTGCAGGCTGTGGACAGCACATGGAGGTGGTCAAGATGGTCAAGCTGTCGAGTGGCCATAGTGTGAACATCCAACGTTTGCACGGAAAAGAAAAACCGCCTGCTGAGTGTTTACCCATTCTGATCACTATTCTATACTATTCTAACATACCTCAAGTTGTGCATACACAGGAGGTTCGCACATGATGTCAAGCTCACACACGTTCTCGAAGTACCTTGGTGAGTCGTCGAAGATACACCCACAAGTGAAGCAAGAGACGCGTGTTGTGACTTTATGACTCCAGATGGTAGCTGGCTGTGTATTGTCCAATGCCATTGATGTTCTTTGCACATGCATATGTACATGTGTAAAAGCATAAACACGTTTATGTAAGATGTTTTATGTGTGTATATCTATATATGTTATGTATATATACATATATATATATATTATTTATATTATATATATGTATATATGTATTATTTATATGTATATATATATATATTGTCTATATATATATTGTTTATATATATATATATTATATTATATATATATTTATATTAAATATATATATATATATTTATATTATTTATATATATATATATATGTCCTATATCTGTATGTCTTCATATAGTGTTTCAAGGCCAAGCTGCTTGTCCAGGGTCTCCACCTGGCAAAATCCAGCTGAGTGATTTGATGCCTGTTTGGACAAACACCAGGATATTTTGGGCATCAGCTTAAAAGTGAGATCAACAACCAAAAATACCCATGGTGAAAGGTTGAAAAAAAATATCTGAAGCTGGGTGAATGCTTGCCTAGAACCCTGTCTGGAAAACACAAAACCTTTTGGGACCTTGACTTTGCAGATTTACCTCCTTCAAGCACCACCCTGACAAAGACCCAAATGTTTCAGACTTTTTGTCCCTTGCTGACCACCTACTGAGAGAGCATTACAAAAAATACCAGCTCTGCCCGACTCTAGCCTCAATGCCATACAAATAGTAAGAGATGATACCACTCTAGCCGCTATGAGCAACCTCCTCCCTATTTAGGTCTTGCAGCAAGAAAACCCAGATTGTTTGGAACAGCGGGTTGCCCCTGAGCTGCTGACAAGGGTGTGGATGAACTCCAGAATGGCAAGTTCATTGCAATCTTCATCATTGTCTATGCCGACCTGAGACCACACCCTTTCAGTGTCATAAAGCTCAATTGATGACTCGACAAATGGGAATCTGCCATGTCTATCCCTGTCTGTGGATCCAATGCAAACTTCACAAACGAGGCACGATGAAGTACAAGGAAGCATATCGCCTCAAACGATGAAGTACAGGTCACGTGTCCCATGTTCATCATGGCAATGATTTGGTGAGAAATTCACATCATTTCCCGCCTGTAGACGACGCGATAGTCCCTGTATTCTACAAAGGAGCACTGGCTTTCACTTCGCGACAGGCATTTGCCTTAACAAATCAAGCCACTAAGCCAAAACCCACATCTTATCACAACTCACCCTGCATGAATTATGATCATCTTCAGGTCAGAAAGACTGTCTGAATTTGTTTTTCGGTTGGGCTATGCCTTCAACCCCAAATCAGAAAGTTGACTAACTCAGCTGACGCTTGTTAATATCCAAGCTGACCAGTGAATGGAACAACATGAGCAGTTTACCTATTGCGGATGGTCAAAAGAGATTCCCATGCTGCACAGGTTTATCATTACGATATCACAAATAGCTAGCTAGTAGCTAGTTTGATCCCATAGAAGCATCAACCAATGGAGGTTTTGGGCGCTGTTCACATCAATCAGTCCTGGGTCCACACTTAGTCACTAGGTCTTCAAACGAATCAGCTCGCCCTCCAAAGTGACGCGTTCGCGAACGCTCAGAAACTCGTAGTACTGAGCCTTGATTTCCATCTCAGTACGGTTTGCTGTCGGCTCACCACACGCAACTGCAAAAAGTCTAAGTCTGCAGACCAGTCGGGTTTGGCCTTGCTTGTTCACCATCAAAATGAATTTGATCATCGCCTCACCCAACTCATCCGGGGGTGGCTTCAACCCGTTCCAAGAAAATTGGTCCATTGCTTGTCATGATCCCAAAAAGACAATAAAAAATATATATATATATACATATGACATGCATTGGATACATAAGACGTGTACCTATACATACATTACATACATATCTAGATACATATTATATACATATTATATATATATATGTACAGTATATATACACACACACACTTACAATATATATATATATGAATTATATATATATATTACATACTTGCAATACATATGAAAACATCAATATCTGAAACCACCTACTGTGTCAACTACGAGCCATTGCCATCTCTGAGTCTCACCAACCACTGAACGCTTCAATACTAAGCCCACCACGCCACGGCGGGTCGGGCTGAAACCGACGACCCAGGTGCACTCAGAGCTGGCCCATCTATTGGGATTGAACCCACAGCAGCAATCAACGCTGGGAGTTAGAATTCTTCGATTTGATCCCTGAAGCTGCAAGCACCATTCTGGTTTTATCCATCATTTATCCATCATTTATCCATCTTATCCACCACTTGGATTTGCTGAAGGATCTGAAGGCAACAGGTTCCCTGTAGATTCCCCAGTCCTGGTGGATTTGCCAATGGGAAAATAAGAACCGCCTTCAGCAAATCTAGACTAAAGAAATGAGCCTTTTTGAAAATCGTTGGGGGTCGACAATTTGATCATATTTGAATATATTTGACCTATAAATCCACAATACAAATAGACCGGCTCCATGTAGACAAACATTGTGACATCACCCTGGCCAGGTGTTTGTACCCACAACCTTCGACGCAAATGCTTTGACAAAAACGAGATCTTCCTGTCCTCAACCACAAAAAAACTCCTGGTATTGACACATATTGCCTAGCCACACTGCAGGGACTGGTCTGGCGAGACAGAGCTCACAGGTGCTGCGTCGCAGAAGCTTTTATCAAAGAAATCTAAGGCGCCTCAATCCCAGACCCAAAGATGGGAAGCACATGGATCTCCTCACAGATCTGGGCCAAGGTCTCAAATTGCATTAGTATTGTCACTTCAGTCACTTCAAGTGGCTGATTCAATTCCAAGTGGTGGTTGAAAGTGGCTCAGATCCTCCCACGCTTTGATCGCGCCACTGCGGCGCTAGCGGGGCTTTGCAAAGAGTCGACTTTTCAAACAGCAAATATGGGTGTGCATATCTAGGTAGATTCTCATCCTTCTAGTCGATCCTGTGCAAGGAACCACCATTCAATTTTGGTCAAGGCCAGTTCGCCTGTCACTGAATAAAGTGAGAAGCACGCTTTTTGAAGTCATTCTTGAGAGGCAAAGTTGAAAGTTACCCTCCGGTAACCGGCAATCAAACATGGCATCTGGAAATCCCCCATGTTCATATGATTTTATAAGGGCCATTGCCATGTTTGATTACCAGAGGGTAAAGCTCACCTACTGCCCCAGAAGCTTCACTATCCATAAGAATCATTGCGTTAGCCCCTTAGGGGCCGGGGTTGGCCAAAAATGGCAATTTCAATCGGTCCACCTTTGGAAGTACAGAGGCTATGCTCTTTGAATTGAGCAGCAACCAGAAAGCGTTGTATCAGTCCCTCAGCCTCTAACTACTCAAGAGAGATTCCGAATTGGCTTAACACCATCACTTAAGTTACCTGTAAAGTGTTGGTATTATCCATAAGAGATCAAACATTAACAGCAGCTTACCGGGCTTCCAGTGATGGCCGATGTCATGTCTCAGTAGATGCGAGACAAGACTCCCACTGCGCCTGTCATCAAACCACCTGCGGCTACGAAGTTCTTTAAGAACATCTCACGGGTCAGCTTCACTTCCTTTACAAAAAACCTTGGTGTTGCTGCACAACTGCAGGCTAGTGGACCCACATGACGTGGGTGATTTATAACTTATAACATCTTAAAACTTATCACTAACCCATTTTTTCCCGAATGCGTAGCAAGGGTTCCCGTTTCACTCTGGGGGTCTGGGGGTTGAGGGTGTGTTCGCTCGACGTTGCGTTCACGGTCGCAACCGTCCGCAACCGTCCGCAACCGTCCGCAACCGTTCGCGTGAGGACCGTATGGCCGTGCCTATGGGAAGTTCTGCAGAGGTGGTAATTTTTGGAGGTTTCAGACGTGTCGTTGCTTCGTTTCGCGTGGCAGGCGTGGCACTTCGTGACATTTAGACGTGTTCTGGAACGTGTCGAAAGTCGTTTTGCGTGGCAGGCGCAATACTTTTGCGACGTTTTCCGAAGATGTGTTGCAGTTTTCGTGGCAGGTGCAGCACTTTGGACGTGTCCATCGCCATTTTTCGTGGCAGGCGCAGCACTTTAGACGTGTCATGTTGCGTGTTTTTTGCAAATCGCATTGGCAGGGCTGCGTCAAGTGGCGACAAGGTGCAAATTCCGTGGCAGGCGTGGCATTTTCTGACATGTGCTGAAAATTGACGGAAGCCTCGCACGAAACATCGATTTTGAGGTTGCCAATTTTCACGTTCTAAGGAAAACTCGTAGGAAAACGTCGATTTTGGAGCTGCAAAGTGTGAAAATTGGAGGAAGTCTCGCACGAAATGCTCGTTTTGGTGCTCCTACGTGTCTCGTCTCGCGTCTCTGGTTTTCCTGTGGCTTCGCCGTGTCTATGGGGGAAGCTGCAAAACTTGTCCTTTTGTCATGTTGCCAACTGTGAAAATTGGAGGAAGTCTCGTACGAAATGCTCGTTTTTCTGCATCCACGTGTCTTGTCTCGAGTCGCTGGTTTTCCTGTGGCGTCGCCGTGTCTATGTGGGAAGCTGGAAAACCTCTCCTATTCGAATGTGTCCAAGCAGGTTGTCATGTCGTTTTGCGTGGCAGGCGTGGCACTTTGTGACATTCCAACCTGTTTGATAATGCGTCGAAACTGTCAAAACTGGAGGAAGTCTCGTACGAAATGCTGGTTTTTCTGCATCCACGTGTCTTGTCTCGAGTCTCTGGTTTTCCTGTGGCGTCGCTGTGTCTATGGGGGAAGCTGGAAAACATCTCCTATTCGAATGTGTCCAAGAAGGTTGTCATGTCGTTTTGCGTGGCAGGCGTGGCACTTTGTGACATTCCAACCTGTTTGATAATGTGTTGAAAATATCAAAATTGAAGGAAGTCTCGCACAAAATGCTCGTTTTTTTGCACCCACGTGTCTCGTCTCGAGTCTCTCGTTTTCCTGTGGCGTCGCCGTGTCTATGGGGGAAGCTCCGCACTCCACATTCTACACTTTAAACTCCACACTCCACAATTTACACTTTAGATTCCACACTCTACACTTTACACTCCACACTTTACACTTTGCACTTTACACTCCCCACTCCTCACCTGAGACTTTACACTCCACACTCCACACTTTACACTACACTCTACACTTTCCACTCCTCACTCCTCACTCTACACTTTACACTCCACACTCTACACTCTACACTTTACACTCCACACTCCTCACTTTACTGTACACTCCACACTCCACACTTTAGACTTTACACTCCTCACTCCACACTCCACACTCCTCACTCCACACTTTACACTCCACACTTCACACTTTCCACTCAACACTCCACACTCCACACTTTACACTCCTCACTCCACACTTTACACTCCACACTATACACTCCACACTCTACACTTTACACTCCACACTTTAGACTCCACACTCCACACTCTACACTTTACACTCTACACTATACACTCTACACTCCACACTTTACACTTTACACTCCACGCTTTCCACTTTACACTCCTCACTCCACACTTTACACTCCACATTTCACACTTTCCACTCAACACTCCACACTTTACACTCCTCACTGCACACTTTACACTCCTCACTATACACTCCACACTCTACACTTTACACTCCACACTTTAGACTCCACACTCTACACTTTATACTCTACACTATACACTCTACACTCCACACTTTACACTTTACACTCCACGCTTTCTACTTTACACTCCTCACTCCACACTTTACACTCCACACTCTACACTTTACACTCCACACTCCACACTCTACACTCCACACTTTACACTCCACACTCCACACTCTACACACCACACTCTACACTTTCCACTCCACACGCTACACTCTACACTCCACACTCTACACTTTACACTCTACACTTTACACTCTACACTTCACACTCTACAATTTACAAACTTCACACTCCACACTTTGCACTTTACACTCCTCACTCTACACTCTACACTCCACACTCCACACTCCACACTCTACACTCCACACTCTACACTTTACACTCCACACTGCAGACTGGTATCAAGGGAAACATGCACAAGACTGTTCAAATAAACGATTGCAGAAAGGTATTGTGCGTCACTTCATAACCATGTGTTTTGACATCTGCACCATTAACATACGTGTGAGCATTCGGGTTCGTGGGCTTCATCTTGTTTGCATTGCATTGCTGCCATCCATATGGGGGGCTGTGCCGCATGAAAATAACTAACCCATATTTAACTGGAGATATAACATGATATAACTGGGGGCATTCCACGGTTTCACTGCGTACCCATGGGATACCCAGAATTTGGCCACTGGTGAAAAACCATCCAATTCATGGGAAATTCTAACCATACCTGAGATTCCCGGAAATGTGATGCGTCACCGGCAGGGGGAGTCTCTGAATGGTTATACCGTTATACCAGTTATACCAACCTGAGGCCCCAAGATCTATCACTAGTTTGATTTCCAAGAAACCTGCTAGAGCACTGTATTTCACAAAATGTATTCCACTGTATTCCACGGCTCCAAGTGTCCTAAAGCTGTCTGCCTGACCGTATGCAACTTTCTGGACTCCAGGGACTCACAGTGGGGCGGGGGTCCTGAATTCCCCATCTGCCTCTTGACCCTAAGCAGCCAAAAGTTCACGAGAGATGTGTGTCACCAGATGTCTCAAGAAATCCATGTTTCACCAAAAAGGAAAGCCTGTTCGAGGTTCGAGAGTGAAAAGGATAAAGATAGGGATACCATGGGCCACCTGGCGGCCACCTGGCGGCCAGCTGTTTTGAGTCCCCGACCCTGCTGAGCTGTCCGTGACGTATCGCACGAGGTATTGACGTTCTTCGTCCAGCGAGTCCTCCAACCACAACTTGATGCATTTTTTCCATGAAGGTCATTGCTGCACACCAAGAGAAGCAGCAAAAAAAAGTCAGCGAAATTGACCATGTGGTAAACCCAATGACATAAACCTCCAAAGTTTGGCGGATTTCTGCCACCAATTTCTGGTAGCTTACAACCAATACATGATTTCTGAGTTCATGAAGGACTGAAATGCGATGCCGTTTTGGGATATTTTGGGTGGATATGCCTTTCCTGCTTTCAAACCACGTCCACAAAATGACACCCGTTGACACTAATAGGAATAGAAAATGAAAGATGTTTGAAACCACCAACCAGTAGGTTGTTGATGAACAAAGCCATTGCTATTTGACATCCCCAATCACTGACTCATGCGCATTTTGAAACCACAAACCTGCAACTTTGTCCCAACCTCGGTAGGGATCTGATTCACAAAGGCAGGAATGACTCTGCACTTCTCGGTCAAGTTCGCACCATGAGCACATACCTTACGTGGTGCAGCAAAATGAATTGCTGGCGTCGGTTCCTCAACTGTCCAAGAACAAGTTAAATAATTATCCCAATGAAATGTCAATCCAACCATTGGGGATTCAACTCCAACAATCCAACAACCATCCAAAGCCGATTTCTAAAGTCCGCAAGATGGGATTGCACTGTTCGGTGATTTATGGTGATGGTTTTACTGAAGAGAAACTCTTCAAACGTTCCGGCCCCATCTTCAGCATAGCACAGCTATGCCATCACCCCACGGTCTCAGTGTCGAGCAGCTCTGAGGTTCAACAAGAAGAAGACCAACAGAGGAAGGGCATTGACCCCTTCCAGGATCAGCACTTCCGGCTTCAAGCCAAGCTGAAAACTCGCGGTGACCGCACTGGCCAGGACGTAGATGAGTCCTCTGGACCCATCAGATGTTCATCCCCATTGGTCCAGTCTACATGACCCCTGGACTCGCGGACCCATCATGTGATTTTTCCATCAGTTCCATCTCGTACACTCACCTGGCCACCTGGCTGATCTCAAATTCTTATCTGTGTCTGTCTGAAATGAAGATGCCGGGCCTAAATTATGGTAGCTTTCATTGGGAAATGATTCAAATGAACTAACCATCAATTTTTAGGTTATACGGTTATACCGTTATACAGTTATACTGTACCATTTTCAAACCCTTATCCCAGATCAAACCAACACCATTTCCCACCAATTTCTGCCAGGATTCCAATGGCTCCACAGGCTTGCGAGGCAAGGAAGCTACTCGCAATTCCACGCCCGATGCACTTCAACAAGGCTTGCCTCAGGATGCTGCTATCACCAATCAGTATATAATTTTGGGGGGTTGAGAAACCCCTTGGTTTTGTGGTAGATAATCTAGATAACTCTACTGCGAGGAAATGATCATCTCAATTTCCAACTGGCAGGGGCCAATCACAGTACCACACCAGTGTTTGTCCAGATTGATCAATTCGATCATGTCCTCTGGAGAATCTAGTCATCGGTCATTCTTTTGTGTCATTGGCTCCATGTCCAAATGGATCTGCTTCGGGGACAATGAGTCAAAGGGAAAAAAAATAAGCTGCTTGGTGGAAATGCCATAGAGTGGTCGGTTGGCTTATGGTGATGTTTATGGCTATGTTTATCAGCAACGGTGATAGAAATCTCTCCAAATAGCAGTATACCCCACCGTCAAGAGGATGCGTCTGCTTCAAAATTGTCCTTCTCTTACCTCCAGTCCGTGCGAAAAGTGCCAAACAAGGCTAGGCGCAAACAATTCCAGCTGTCCACCCCAAGAGCAAAGTCTGAATCATTTAGGATGCTGCAGCACCAACAGTCCAGGCTTCTATCCTTGGTGGAAAGATACCAGCACCATGTCTGACTGCACATAGATACAAGTCTGCTCAACAGCTTCATGCACTGTAGTGAAACGAGCATAAGTTCTTCATAGCATGATCTTTGATCTTCTGGATTGGTTTGGGGGGAGTCTTGCGGGAAAACCGAAAACCCCCAATATTATTCTGTGGTAAAGACCGTGGTGCCGTGCATGTTTCTCTTAAAGATCCTTAAAGAGATCCTCGGCCAAGAGGCTAAGCCCAGAAGGATATGAGATTGCACGTACGCAACCAGGGTCACCAAGAAGCTGGCAAAGCCAAAAATCAGCACCGCTGCTCCCTGAGGACATGGATGCGATCAAAGCTAGAGCAACTAGTGCAGCTGCAGCGGTTCCAATGTGTTCCAATGTGCAAGTGGCTTTTTGTGGTTTTTTGCAATGTCGAGAAAATCCAGTTCTGCCAAAGGAGCATTCACCGTGAATTGGATGGCCTTCAGTGAATCCTTAGATCAACTTAGATCATCCAAATCACCAAGTGAATCATGGCCTTGAAAGGTGATCATGGCCAAGACTCATCAGCGGAAACACCGTTGTGCCACATATCAATACCGCTGCTGGTTGCAAAGCACAACCTCAATCGAGCAAGACCCCCAGAAGATATGCTATGTCAGTTATGTTGCGTCTGCATGCTTCTGCAAGAATGGAAGCTTCACTTCAAAGGACACATGTCTGCCTGCTGTGTATCCTTTGGAGTGTGTATGTCCTTAGCCTAAAGTCCCTCCTATGGTGGGAAGACTTTATATACACACCAGTTGTTGTGTCCAAGTTTCATCATCACAACCCAGGCAACAACGTAGATGCGCCCCTCTGTTCCAGAGATCTGGCATGGAAGTAGTGGTGAAAAGATCGCTACGCTGCAAGACTTTAGGGAAGTGGGATATAAATGGGATATGTGCCATCAATCAACATCACTCAATATGGAGGCAAAAAAACAAGCTGAAATGATCTTTCATCCGGCTTGAAATTTTCGATTTTGACTTTCGAGGCGGTTTTGAAGATACATCCCCCAACATTATCCTCCACATCCTGCCTTTTTCCATTCCACTAGGAAGTCAGCAACAAAATGTTGCATCTTGTCCAAGGCCAGATTCATATCATCACTCTGAAGAGCCATCCTGCCATCTCTTGCATTGTGGTGAACGCAGGGAACCATCATTTCAGTCACAGGGGTTGTCACTACAACTGTCTTTGATGCGAAGCTGATATACCTGGATACCTCCTTGAGATTCCTTGAGATTCCTTGAGGATTCCAAGAGAAATGTCTGGCTTTCTCCAACACCCATTTTTGGTACATGAAACCCATCCTGAGGAGGATCACCCCAGAGGGTGCTGCAAGACCGTAAATGAGTTGTGCTATGGCTGGGCCCAAGCCTGGCACATCGCAGGAGGCAGGAAAAACACTCTGCAAGGGAAGTACGTTGGAATTCATTCAACTTCAGGGCAACATTGGGGAACTAAGCATTTCTTTCAGCTTCTCCGATTGGGCACAAAGTGGCACAAAGGCTTCATTGGTTCCGCTTGTGAGGCTTTTCTGACAGCGAACTCCAGATTCCCTAGGCAGAATAGTGCCATCTGGCTCAAAATCTCCCAGGCGTCGCTGGAAAGCCGGGTGACGGAAGTCGGCCCCAGCGATGACCCCATTCACCGCGATGCAGCCCCCGCTTGCAAACACGGACAGTGGTCCAATCAGCCAAAACCTTGGTGACAAGATGTGACAAGCCGACAGGGAGCCTACACAAGAATCAGAGATGCTACTTGGCCACTGCACAGTTATCACATCAAGAATAATATAGTCATATTTATATATATATATATATAGTCAATATGGTTGATCAGACAATGTATGATATAGTTCTGTGGATGGGACATGCACCACATTGCACCACTGCACCACCCGATCCCATTCCCTTTGCATCTGAGGGACAGCCTACCTACAGATGATAATAGGAACTTCGAACCAGGATCTGGCTGGCCCGCTTCGATGGCAACTTGCGTCTCAGGGGACTTTCCCACCAAAATAGCAGCCTTGGTGGTCACTTTCCAGTCCACCGCATCTGGACGTGTGCGTTAGCTGCCGTTAGCTAGCCTGTTCCAGCCTAGCCTGAATGTTGGCACCAAGCAACTTGAGATTTGTTCGATAGACTTACCAGCGTCACTACCTAAGCAAGCATGGAAAAGCAAAGCTTTTGAGAAAGACTGCAATACAAGTCGGCACAGAGATTGAACAAGTCAGCGCAATCCATGGCGTCCAAGGCGCCTTCTCCTTATTTTGCTGCGACGAAGGTGATGTGATCATTTGATCAGAAGGATCTTGAGGGACCAACCCTGGAAAGATCGGCTTACTCTCATCCACTTCCTCTGAGGATCTTCGGCCCAAGCGCTCCATCTCCAAATCAATGTGCTCCTCGACCTGAAAGCCCCACCGAGCCCATATGTTGTGCCACATTATAAAGACCCTTGCGAAAAATGGATCAAGTGGGTTTCACAAACTGGGAAGGACCAAAATCCGTTGGCTCCATGGCTCCAGCGTCCCCAACTTTCACCCACGCCCAATTGACTCTGGCTAAAAGGCTAAAAAAACTAGTACTTAAAAGCACCATAGTTTTACTAGATTCAAACCCCCCAAAGGTGTTGTTCCTTCAAACTCTGTTTTTTGGTCAAAGGATGTCAAAGGCAATCTGCACAATTCAATCTTTTCTTCGGGATGCACCGCACCTCATTGAAGTGCGCGTGACGCTCAGCTTTGGACATTGTCACAGCCTGAAGAAAGGCACCGTTCATCTGCTGAATGCTGGGCACCTGCGACCTGGATGGAATCCACGAGACCCAAACGGGTTTTAATGACCTCTGGTGTCATCAAACGTCGGGAAATCTTGTAAATGGGCATTTACACCGACCGTAAAATCATCAAAATGATTACCAGCGGGTAAGCCTGGGAAAAAAATGGGATGATCTGACCCAATAGGAAGTAAGACCGCCGTGGATCAATTTGGTTACTGTAATTTCCCTATCATTTCGAACCGTTAAATTGACCATGGACCATGGACCAACCATGTAACACATATCCTGCGCATCCTGCCTCTCAGTCAGATCCTTCGACCCTTGACGCACCAGTCCCCGGCTGATGGCGCCGGCGTCAAAGTTACATCTCTGTCGAACCTGCTCGGTCCAGGTGGCAAAGTCAACACTAGCTCCAACAGGTTCGCCTTTCGAAGTCTTCGCCTGCGGATCTGGGAAATCAGGGTCAGCAACAGAAAAAGGGGAATATGACGGGATATGGGAGGACCAATGGCTGGAAACCAAGTATTTGTTGTGTTCAATCATCCAGAGTGACAAATCCCTGATGCTCCATTGCTCCATCAACCAAGGGTTTGGTCACTGCGCGCCTCTTTGCGCTTTCCGGGTCGATGCAAGACTTGTTGAGCGCTGAGTCTTCTATGCTTCTTCCGATCGCCACCATCAGACGAGCCATCGTCCTCAGAAACATGCCCAAGGGCGCCCTGTGGTTTGGCGACGCCAGCTTGGAACCATGAATGCATTGTCGTTTCTGGGACTGCCCTGACTGCACTGACTGCACTGACTGCACTGACTGCACTGACAGCACTGCACCATCAAATTTTGGACGTTGATCATGTCGAGCCGCAGCTCGTTTCTCGTGGAAGCATTGTATTAGTATGTATTAGTCAGATCTCCCAGAGTTTTCCCAGTGCAGTTATGCCAAGCGAAGCGACCACCTCCATTGCAGCAGGAGTTGTTGAAGGTGGAGCCAAGTTGTTTTTCATCGCTGGCACAAGGATCTCGTGGCCGGGTGCTGCATCTGGTGCATCTACATCCTCTGATGGAGCTGATGGAGGTGATGAAAATGGGCACTCCAGCGGCCTTGGGCATGGGCTGCAGAAAGAGATTTCCGCTTGCAACGTGCTTCAAAAAGAATGCCAGTATCACCAAATATGTTGATGGTTCAACTTCTGAATGCTTTAAAACAATGAATAAATTCTGAAGGCGAACACGGACCTGTACATTTTAAGCTCTCGGTCCAAGCAAGATCTACACACCACACCATTTGATCTGTTGGATTCTGTTGGCCACCTTTGTCACCACTGATGGATTAATGTGTTCAGGATCTCACTGAACTTTTGCTCTTGCTGCTCTTGTTGAGGTGAACCACTGAAGTGCTCAGTTACTCTCCAAGGATATCTGCATAAAGATAACATGCAATAAAATCGACGCTCTGAAAATGTCCACGTATTCTTTACTTCCAACCTTCGTCTGAGGCAAATGGAACCTGTCTCCCGCTTGCGGCTTGCAAGGAAGTCACAAACTCAGGCTCTTCTGCTCCCACCTGAATGCCAGCCGATTGGCGAGGAGCAAGGGTTGAGTCATTGCGTCAACAGTGCTGTCATTGAAAACAAATCCAAGTGTCCGAATCAAAAATCGTCTATTGTATTCCACTGCGGTCTAAGGTCCTAGTAGATGCTGTTGAATCAGGTGCGCATGGCAGTCTTGTTGTAGCATTGGTGCATTTTAAGCTTCACAAGCTTCAACTCTGCATGCTTGATGGTTTGATACTGTATTATGTGTATTATATTGCTAAGTCTAAGTGTGTACAATGTGACATGCACGATGGACATAACCCAGCCATGGAACTTCTCCAACAGTGCCAGAATCGTATCCACTTTACGATGCAGCGCCAGCACGTCCATGCTCATAAGCTTTGGAATCGACTGACTCGTCCTGACTGCACCGCTTAGCACCGCTTAGCACCGCTCAATGACCCCAAGATTGATACGCCATGTTCAGTCACCTCTGAGACTCTGGGCTTGACAGCAAGCGAATACAAGAAAAAGGAACTTCCAGGAACCAGACAAATTGTCAAGGCATCTGTCAAGGCTAAGCCAAGCCTCTCAGCTTCTGTTGAAGCAAAGTCAGAGTCTTGAAAACTGCTTATTCCCTTTTGTATCGGCTCATCACCCATTGCACAAACAAGTGGACCAAGAAGTTGGCTGTGCAAATGATTAATAGTAAAGAGTTTTCAAACCCATACAAGTCCATCCATCTATCTTTGATATAACAGAAGTGAAGCTGCGATATTGTTCATCCTGACTTGTACTTGCCAAGATTTTGTCCATCACTCTATGAAAAACTCTAAGCTTACAAAGCAGAAACGGCAGCGCAACAGCAGAAACGGCTTGGTTTCAGCATGTTTTTACTGTACATTCTAGCGACGGACTGTAGGTGTAACTACGTCGTTGAACAGTTTCCAATTGAAATGAACGGAATGGAGCAGCTGTAACTGCTAGTTAAAATTTGAGCAAATCCAGTCCCCCTTGGCAAACGTCGCCCAGTCTACCAAGGGCGGAATCATTCCCAATCATCCCATGGCCAGATGTGGTACTCACAGGTCAGGAGCACGCTCATAAATCACGTGTCTGAACATCATGGGGTTTCTGTTTTGATTTTAAACCACTCCAAATTGTGCCAGTAAGCTCTGCATGCGAGAACTGCGCAGCGTCATGGAATTGCCAGTCCATGGAAGAAAATACATGTGAATTCCCTTTTTACAAATTGCGAGTCTATGCAACTGCTCTGGTAACTCCGACGATGACATCCAAACAACTGTTGTCTGAAATTTTGTCTGTGCTGCGTTGGGAAATTAAAAACCTGATGGGTTAATTCCTGAAATTGGAACAGGCATTTGTCCAAGGGAGGCGTGCAAAAAAATACAAACTTCCGTCAGTTCCAACATCACAATCCAACATCAACATGATCCATCACTGAACTGCCTGGCCTAGCGCCAATCTGCAGATCACACCATTGCGTACAAGTGGCACTCGCAATTACATTACCAACATAATAAACATCAGTTGGGTGACCCCACCTGTGGGTTCTAGGCGTCACATTATTCTCTGGACAATGGAGGATGGAAATTAAGACATGCAGCTCATTCAATGTTTTGAATTTTGAACACTGTGGAAGGGAAAGGAGACGCCTGAACCCAACCAAAAGGCGGCAGCTGCGACAGCAGCACGACAACCATGAAATTGTTGTGGAGGCTGATCGAACTTTGATTCCTGCAAAGCGGAACTCATGGTTGTCGGCTTCCAATCGATGCTTTAGCGGTAGCGAACATGTGTTGTTCGCATGAAGAAGAGACAGGACAGATCTGCCGGATTTTTTGTTTCGAATTTTCACACTTGAAAGCAAATAAGGTCACCTTTAACCTCGCTCAGGGCTACGGTGAATATGTTTTTACCCGGTCAACCGGCAGCTTGCAGCTCAATGTTGGGAAGGCCCCGGGTTTCGCTGAAATCCCTGGCCACTTTTCTGATGAGTTGTTAGCAGGGCTCGATGAGTCGAAACGCAAGTCCACCTCTGGAGAATCTGCGCCTGAAAACACGCTTAAACCTAGGACTAGGAGACCTGCCTGGGCGGACGTATCCAAAGATGTGAAGGAGAAGGTCCAACGTTGAAATCTGACGGTAGTTTTTGAGTTGTTGATTTGAGATGTGTTGGTCACTTCCGTCTAGTCCTTTTGACTGAACTGATTGGAGTGTGCTTGGTTTTTCTCCACTGCTCTTTGATGCTTGCCACAGGTGGATTTGTGAACGAGACGAATGGCTCTTCACCCACTGGCAGCCACAAACCAGACATAACCGAAACAGCTCGGCAGCAACGTGCACACAAAAAGCATTGGAACTCGCAGGAAAAATCCCATAGGCAGTCCGGAGTGAGTGGCATTAAGCGAGAAGCTCTCAGCCAACTCCCAATTCTTGATCGTAAATATCCACCCAAACCCTGATAAATTGGGATTTAACTCGGGTAGCCATCACTGGGCTGCGATCTGTCTCCACGGTGATCATACCCACCAAATTTCAAAGTGTTGAAAATAATGTTTCAAAAACCTTTTCTTTCATGCAACATATTCGAAATGTTTCCGCACTGCAGGTTGTGGAAAATCATTGAGGAGACGGTGGTTGATAGCTATGTGGCTATGTGTTGTGCATGTGTGCATGTGTACTTGAGAGGATTGCTGGGAACATGAAAGGTAGCTGGGGCGCTTTGATTTGTTCAGTTCGGAGTATGTCTGTGAAGCGTATGGCCGCAACCCACAGTGGTGGCCAGAAAGTGGTGGCCTGAAAGTAGATTCAAAGCGGTCTACTGTTTTCAAGGGGTTCTTGTCTTTTTGTTATCTTCTGTTCATTTTGCCTATATTGTGCGTTTGCGCAAGAACTGTTGAAAAGATATTTACCGCCAGGACCTAAGAAAGCACTCGTTTTGCCTTGCCTTGGCTGGACATGTTATTTTCTGTGGCGTAAAGCTATTCATGACCCACTCGGACCCAAGAAATCTTCGGTTTTAATGCGCATTGGGACTGTACAAATGAACTTCCCAAAAATCGGTTTGTGCTGCATTATATCTTTTGGATGGAAAATTTCATCACACTAGGACTGGGGCCTAATAAAATTTAGTGTCTAGTGGATAGTGGGACCTTTTGGACCCACCAAAAAGTAAACTAAGTAAACATTGAGTAACGGGACCTTATGACCCAAAAAAAAAAAATGTGTGAAAAAGGCTGGTGTTGCATTGCTGGATGGCACTGTTGAGTTTTTGGTGTGCAAAGCTGTTGCACATCACAGGTACCACAAAAAAAAATGTAGTGCTGAAGTGCTGCTAGTTTTGGTAGTTTGTTTGCACCTGTCATTCTGACCTGTGGCATGTCATCATCAAGAGGAAAACTTTACTATAGTGTTGTATATAATACAATAATACATATATAAATACAAACATGCCTATGTAATTCTATCTATTTATACAATTTTATATACATATATCACAAACAAATGTTTTGTTCTCTGCATTTCTGGCCTGCTGTCACATTCAAACAAAAGCAACCGTCCTTGTCATCATTACTCTCGCAAGTTGGTAATGAATGATGTGGTCACTGTAGAAACTAAACAACTCCCTCTATTTTTAGAAATGAAATGTCAGTAATTAGCAATATTTGCTTATTTTTTTTGGTGTCTGGTATTCTCATAAGCATGTAGGCGTGCCGTTTTTTCATCATGGTGCCGGGTGAGGTGGGGTGGGAAGTGTCACTAGGGCGAATAACGCCGGATTGCAGGATTGCACGGTTGCGAAGATCCGTGTCACCTTGTTTTTGTATCACGGCGCTCGCCTGATGTGTGTCTATCAAAGCCATGGCTTGCCAAAATTTGCCAAAAATTGTGAAGTAACACGATGTGTAAACAAAGAAGGCACCTTCATGGCTGGTCAATCAAGACCTTAACATATCAAATTGCAGCTTGGACATTGTCAATCTGCAGCAAAGGTCCACATATCAAATTCCCCTGTGGCAAATAAAATATACTACCACGTCCAAATATGAGGTTCCGGAAAAAATGCACAGGTCGGCTCGTGTTTTGATGATTTCGATGGCCAAAAAAGAAGCCTGCACCCAGAATAGTTGTCGAAACCAGCAGTGACGGTCAAAAAAATTGTCGCAGTTGCCGTGAAATCGGAGTGACATGCGTTGAATGATGCATTTATCCTTTGTAATTATTCTTTGCACTTTGCTCGCCTCCACATGTCTCGGCCATTGAAAGTGGTCCTGAGTCCTGAGTATGAGCCACAAGAAATGCAACCAATGGAAAAATCTAGTCTGCGTCCGCGTCTGGTAGAGGAGTAGCAGTGCCAGCACCGTGGGATTTAGACAGGATTGGGCAGAGTAAGAGAGGGCTCCAAAAGCAAGGGATGTGCAAAGCGAATCACCCAGCCCTGGCAGTATCACTGCACTAAGCAATTTGCTTTCAAGCTCTGCAACACGAAAGAAAGAAAGCATCCCGACACTTTTCGGGCATCCGCACCGTCCACAACCGTTTGCTGTACAGAATACGCGAGAGGCAGCACGAAGGAAGCACCAGTCTGATCATCTGGTTGTCAGAGTCAGGGTTTAGATTTTCCAGCAGAAATACTACGACAAATCATCCATGGTTCGCCAGATCAGAGATTTCTGGCTGCAGTTCGATCAGACCCCAGTGAAACTGCTCAGTCGCCTGAAAAACATGGGCGGCATGTGGATCTGGGAAGACCTCCCAGTGGGTACCATCAACCCAATGTGGGAGGCCGCTCTCATTTTTGGCATAAACCAGACTTCGACTTTGCTTAGCAAAGCCTACCATCAGCGAAGAGTGGGTAAGAAGAAACTTGCTTCTCATTGGCACAATCGGACTAAGCTCACCATTCCCAGTGACTGTTTCAAAGGCAGTTGTTCAAGCCAAGAAGTGGCTAGTGCCAAATGGGAGTAGATTTGAGCGCACGGTAGGAGATACTGCAAATCTGAATGTCCTCCATTAACAGGTTTGTATTGATCTGATGACTTTGGTTGGAGGCACGGCTCGTGTTGTGCTTTATGTGAACAATCAGCTACTACCCAATGTGGCCTCAAGACTCTGACCAAAGGTAAGTTTATCTTGACAAGGACCATCAGTGCTTCCTGTATCTGTGAAATATGCTATCCAACTAGAATTTTCTAGCATTCCTGTCCCAAAAAACTTTAAGTTGTACCCACTCCTCTAATGGCTTTAAAAAAATGTTCGCCAAACGAGAACAGCAGCTACTGTAGCTGCATCCCAACGCGGAAAAGTTCCCATCTCTTCCAGCTGTTATGGCAAATAAGACTAGGGAAGAAGAAACGAGAAACATGTTGGCAAATCCCATCCTTCAAGCATGGACAAGGGCGCCAACTGTGGTAAAAGCAGTAGCCGGAAGCGGCATGCAGAGTTCCGCTGTGGCGGCAGCAGACATACTCCTCCCAGGGGATCATCAACGTCAAAACACATCCGACCCCATTGGAAAATCCGCCCGCGCCGAAGGTGCTGGGGCGTGATCGTCCGGATGGCACTCGTAAAAGGTTACAGGTTTACCTGGGGGGGGGGGCCATTATTCGGCCAAAACCTCCTGTTTTTGATAGGTCGTGACGCTCGCCTT